CCTAAACCCTAAACCCTAACAAACTTGTTGTGTGTGCGTAACTGGGACTTGTTACCTGAGATACCTAAGACCTACCCATAGGCCCCATAGTAGTTCCTTTTTGGGGTTACCTTATGGCATGACATATATGAACCCCAAAAGGAACTACTTTAGGGCCTATGGGTAAGCCCATGCAAGGCCAAATCACCGCCGAGGACTGCAAGCAGCGTCCAACTTCTCAAACCGGAGATGCCGAAATCCAGGCCTTTAACATGACCAGCCTTAAATACCTTTGGGTTTAGGGTTTAGGGTATAGGGTTTAGAGGTTTAGGGTTTAGGGTATAGAGGTTTAGGGTTTAGGGATTAAGATCACAGCTCAGATATACAGAGACCTCGGTGTTGGCGCTGGGGTCAGGCATCCCGGTGCCCTGACCGCGGGGAAGGGTTTCGGAGTGAGAGATGGAGGGCAATGGCTTGAGGCTTGCATGGGCGTAAAGTCTAGGGGTTTTTGGTCGTCTGCAAAACCAGGCGTTCTGAGTCATAGGTTCTTCCGTTAGAGCTATTCAGCGTGCACCTACCAAGTGTGGCTACACGGTGCAACCCGAATGAATTTTTGCTGCCCGAGAATTGGAGTTCTTGGGCGGGGTCGGGCCAACTAGCGGTTGTCAGCGATGTTGCATGGGTTGGGTTTCACCTACCTAGTACGGCCCATGATTTTCACATCGCGAAACAACAACCTCCTTACACATGTATTCCATGTTGTGGCCGACTGGCTCAAGACTTAAGCTTATATGCAGCGGAATCCTCTGAAAGGGCTTAGGGTTTACCTATAGTCTCCATTGTAGTTCCTTTTTCTGGCTTAACCAAATATATAGTAAGGCTTTTATAAGGTATCCCCAAACAGGAACTACAATGGAGACTTTAGGTAGGGGCCCTAAACTAAAAGCCCTATACCGTTTCTGAGATTTGCAAATGAAGAGCATGGGCACGGTGTGAGGCCCATGTCTTCGGGGTCGTTGCGGGAGCTAACTGGGTGGCATCGAGATGAGGGCTCCAAAGGGATAACTTGAGAAGCCGTAATAATTATAGAAGAGGGTGTTGAGGTATATCATGCTATACTTGTAATAGGGAACCCCCAAAATAGTAGGTAATTATTCAGGCCCCTATAGTAATTTGAGAAGCATATGATGAGTGCTCTCGGGGGATTGTAAACGCTTTGAGAGTAAAGAAACAACCATCGCACAACCCTGTAGGGGCTTGCCCGCCCCATTGGAATTCACTTGACCCATACCTTGTAAGCCCCTAAACCCTAAACTCTAAACCCTAAACCCCAAGCCCTAAAACCCTAAACCCTAAACCGGCAAGCCACGATGTTCCGGAATTTGGGCTTAGGGCTTCAGCGTTTCAGAGGTATGTCGGTAGCGACCCAGAGACTCCAATATCCCTAAATCAAGGAATATACCTGAAATTATCGTAGGATCCCTACTATAATTTAAGGTAGATTCCTTAATTAAGGGATATTGGAGTCTCTGGGGAGCTTGCTGCTAACATCGGCGCCGTGTTGGTATCCATAAACGACCATCCTGCGCCCTCAACCTGCTCCGCAACTTCCAACCGCTCGAAGTACCTAAAGTCTCCATTGTAGTTCCTGTTTTGGTCTATCCAAATCATATGATAAGGATTATTTTATAAGGTATCCCAAAAAAGGAACTACAATGGAGACTATAGGTAGACCCGAAACTTTCACTGAAAAAGCTCGAACATGGCTGCAGGCTTGCCTTGATATGCTGCGGCACCCAGCACACGGTGTCCTGCACGACGATGCTCAGCGTCGCTTCCACCTCAGACGCATGAGTAGTTCTCTAAATTAGGGTCCCTTTTAGGGTCCTTTTTATAAGGGTGCCGTACTATATTGGGGACCTAAAAGGGGACCCGAATTTGGAGAATTACCCACATCTCAAACCCTGGGCTTGTGAGGGCTTTGGGCTTGGATGACAGGTATACCCAAAAAGGAACTACAATGGAGACTATAGGTATGGTCATTTGTTCTTGGGATAAGGGACGGAAGGCTCACGTTTCTGGGTTTCAGCCTGCGGTGCCAGTCGCGTGCTAGTGCTGTCGATATCGTTCGTTTCATGTTGGCAATGCCCTTTGAAAGGCTTTCGACGGTCCTACAACCTGCCTATAGTCTCCATTGTAGTTCCTTTTCTTGGTTTAACCGATAATATAATCAGGATTCTATAAGGTATCCACGAAAAGGAACTACAATGGAGACTGTACCTGTAGTCTCCAATGTAGTTCCTTTTTAGGGATACCTTACAAACTCGTTAATATATATATATATATATATATTTGGTTAAACCAAAAAAGGAACTACAATGGAGACTATAGGTAGGTGAAGAGCAGAAGCCTTGAAGAGCAAAGGAAGGACTTCTTTCTCATGGCCTCCGCCTCGGCCCCACATTGACCGCTTCTGAAACACGGAGACGCACTGAAGCCGCAAAGTGAAGACGGTGAGAGCCTATAGCTTCCCACTTCCCACTTTGCATAGCCACAAAATCTCCGATCGCACTTTGCATTGCCACAAAATCTCCGAACCTGAAGCAGCCTCTCAAGCGACCTCAAATCGAAAGGCCCGGGATTTACCTGGGAAAGCCTCGACCAGTCCCTCATTCTGGGTGCCGTGAAAACTCGAAATATGATTCCTCATGGTTCATGGATGCCTCACAATCTCTATTTGCAGTACTATGTACTGATGGGCTGGTCGGTAGGTTTTCAATTAGAGAAACCCATGGGCTGCTCATGGACAAAACCTAGCATTGCCTGAAGTACGATGGCTCCATATGTTAAGACATGATACGAACGACGATATTAGGTTCCGGTGTGCCGGCAAAAAATGTGAGCTCTCCAACAAAAAACTCCGGCCTGCTCTTGCCTGCTAGTTCACACAAGTGGCTGCCGGCAACGAAGAGTGTAGAGCAACGAACTATTCCTTATGGCCTCATGGTTTCTTACTATGTATAGTATAGCGAGTGTAGCAGCTACCGAAAATCGTAGTCTACGACTAGTCTACATCATGTGGTTCTTACCATACTGCTCAACCGCAGCCTCAATGCTGGGTATTCTGATCTATTCGGGACAGTAAAGGATGTTGTCAGTCAGTAATAACGACCCATAGGCCCCATGGTAGTTCCTTTTTGGGGGTTCATATTTAGAATCCTATAAGGTAATCCCCAAAACGAACTACTATAGGGCCTATGAGTAATGATTAGATCCAAGAACGTAAGGTTTTGTTGACACTCGTAAGGTCACAGAGCCAGGTGAGGTCACGTCCGACAGATACACACACGAGGTTTCCCCTAGGGCTCCAAGTATACAAATAGAACCTACTTTGGGGCCTACTTGGAGGATCATGGGACTTAGTAAATAAGGTTATAAGTCCCTTAATTGGGGTTATAAGTATAGTTACCCTAATTATAACCCTACTTAGTAAGTCCAATGACCCTTTAAGTAAAGTCTGTAAATAGTACCGACTTTGGGCTTTTTGGAGCCCCAGGGTTCGGGTTTAGGGGCACACTTCAGGTTGCAGGAATCTGGAAGTCCGACAGCTTGCACATAAGCAACTAGACCCATAAGCCAACACCGCGAGAGAAAAACAAAAAAACAGACGGGACCCTAGAACAGATCCTGCTACGTAATGTCGGGGCCTTAATAATTAGAATAGGCTTTTGGGGCCCATTTACTATAATTATAGTAAGGACCCCCGCAATAAAAAAATGTATAGGTAATTGTTAAGGCCCCTATATTACCAGTCTTGTCACAAAGACCTCTCAACGCGCCCATGCTCTGACTAGCTCGATGGTCTGATGGGCTGGTCTTATCACATCGGCTTTCAGTAACGGTTTAGGGTTTAGGGTTTAGGGTTTAGGGTTTATAGCTTGGATGTGAGGGTTCTCCCGGCAGTTCACCGACACCGAAGCAGAAGAAAAACATATAAAGCAGACACTAACGACAACCCGAAGGTCTTACATAACCTAACTAACGTGCCCCACGCCCTGACATCAGAACCGTACTTGCGCACGGTACGCCATAGAGCCGGCCTATACCCCCACATCCAAAAAGCTGCTCAGTCTCTACCCATATAGGCCCTAAAGTAGTTCCTTTTAAATGGGGTTCATATATAGATTCTTATAAGGTAACCCCAAAAAGGAACTACTATGGGGCCTATGGGTAGGCTCTGGCTTCCTATGAGCCAGGGTACGGGGGCGAGGTCTGGATCAGGGAAGATGCCGAAGACTCGACAGCTCAAAGTGAATGCCTGCCGGAACTTCGGTGCATGAGGAGCTGCAGCTATTGGTTGGGGGGCTTCAGGGTGTGGTTTAGGGTTTAGGGTTTAGGGTTTAGGGTTCATGAGTTTGGAGGGCCCAGGCGTACTGGCCGAAAGAGGACGCGGGGCTGAGGGAGTCTAGGGTTCATGGGTTTGGGTGCTTCGGGGGTTTATGGGTTTGGGGGGTTTCGGGGGTTTGGGGTTTGGGGGTTTAGGGTTTCGGGGTTTAGGGTTTAGTAGTTTAGGGGTTTGGGGGTTTGGGGGTTTAAAGGTTTAGGGGTTCTTGGGGGCCTAGAGCTTAGTGGTATAGAGTTTAGAAATGAATACATAAATACATATATAAATATACATAAATATAAATATATATATATATACATATATATAGATATAGGTATTGGGGTTTGGGTTTGCGCTTGGGGTTTTGAAGCTTCGAGCTCGGGGTCTAAAATGTAAGGGTTTGAGGTCTTCCCTGCAGCACATCGAGTTTATAAGGTTGAGGGATTGATTGTAGAGGAGTGTACGCAGCTTGGCTTGAGATCGTCTGGGAGGGACACACGGTAGATAAAGTTCCTAAGTTATGTTCCGAGTTGTACTTTATAAGGTTTTAAGGCTTGTGAAGGGTTTATAGGGGTTACAAATGGTCTTGTTGTTAAGGCTGCAAGGTCGAAAGGTTTGATGTCGGGCATATAGGTTCTCCTCGCATAAACATACCAGTCGAGGCACTGGTGCCCGGTGGCGTTGTCTTTCACCAAGCGCTCTTTCGTAGACTTCAAAACACATTCCTTGTTGAGTGCTGCTTTCTTGTACTGGCCCAGATGTTCTTTCAACGTCTCGCTGCCCTCCGGTTCGGGGAATTCCACCAGCTTCGCGGGCTTGTTGCCGCCCTCGTTCGCACCTTCTGTGGTATCATCAAGGCCGATAATATCGCCCACAGACCATTCTGTGTCCCATAGCCCAGACTCGGCAAGCTCTTGTTCTAGGGTCTTCGTTCGCGACGTGCCCGTCTCGACCTTGTCGCTCGTCTGCACGAGGTATTTGACATCGGAGCTGTGCAGGCACTTGTTCGTGAGTTTTCGTTTCGATCAGTACTCCTTCGCGCCGGCGATCGTGGCCCTCGGATAGAACTTGCTCAAACTTAAACTTCACAAGCCCAAATGTCGTATTGACCATACCGTATAGTCAGGCGTATGTACAACCTGCCACGGGTTATCCAATATGCACCCTTTACTGCTGATGGACAAAATCCTGCATGACCCAAATATAGTATAGTACCATAAATCCCATAGTTCAGGGTCCTTAAGGTCATGCAGGATTTTGTCCATCAACCGTATCACCCTGTTTTAACGATATAGTTACCACTTACGTCTAGCACCGGAGAGTTGGGACTTTTGGAGGGCTTCGAGGCTTTCGTCCTGGAGCTTAGAGTCCTGGAGCTCAGTTTAGGGTTTAGGGGTTTAGGGGTTTAGGGGTTTAGGGTTTAGGGTCTAGGGGTTAGGTTTTAGAGTTTAGGGTTTTAGGGGTTTTGGGTTTAGGGGAGCTTCGAGTCCTGCGGCTTGCATGGAGGTTTTATGCTTCAGGGCTTTAGGAGTGTAGTCTCCGAGACGGAACACTCGAGAGTGGTTGGGAATCGTGCCTTTGCCCTAGACCCAGAGCCCCACTTATATCCCAAAGCCCTCAGACCCTAAACCCCAACTCCCTGAACCCTGAAACCCCAAATCTTAAACCCTGAACCCTAAACCCCAAATCCTAAACCCTAGACTCCAAATCCTAAACCCTAAACCCCAACCCTTTCAGCTGAACTAACTTCATGCCCACAGGAGCTCTCGGATGCAGTACATTGACAGCTTAGGACAGCTTACTTAAAGGATCATGGGACTTAGTAAGTAGGGTTATAACTAAGGTAGCTATACTTATAACCACAATTAGAATACTTATAATTGTACTTATTAAGTCCCATGAACCTCCAAGTAGGACAGCTGACTAGAGGGGCCCTCAGATCCCGCGTTGTACGGTGTCTGTCCTGCAGGCTCACAGTTGACCTTACACCTGTAACCCAAAGGCCGCCCTTCCACATAGTATGGATATGGGTTTAGGGTGTAGGGTGTAGGGTTTAGGGTTTAGGGTTTAGGCCCTGAACTCTTGAAGCAGATTCGCCGGGCGTGTTCCGGCCTGAATCTGCTCGGGAGTGTAGGGGTAGTACGGATACCTGGCAGGAGCATTGCCACGAATCCTACCTATAGTCTCCATTGTAGTTCCTTTGTTTGGTTTAACCAATTTTTAATTAGGATCCTATGAGGTAGCCCCAAAAAAGAACTACAATGGAGACTATAGGTGAACCCTGAAGCCAAAACACCCTTAACCCTAAATTCCTGAGCCCGTAGTTTCTCCCTTTCATAGAAGACAGCGAACACCAGCTTCCCGTAAGGATGTTGTTGGTGGTTCGTGTTCATGAGCAGCTTCAATTCCACACAAAACTTGCCTTCTTTCCCAGGGTCGTCAAAACACATAGGCGTATGCTAGTAAGTTGCAAAAACCGCTCCCTCTAATCCTTCTACAGTTGTCCGCATGTAGCCCATGGAAGGCCAAAGCGCTAAACTCTTAATCCATGACCCTAAACATCAAACCCCCTACACCCTAAATTTCAAATCCCCTATACCCTAAACCCTCAACTTCAAATCCCCAAAACCCTCAACTTCAAATCCCCTAAACCCTAAACCCTCAACTTCAAATCCCCCAATACCTAAACGCTCAACTTCAAATCCCCTAAACCCTGAACCCTCAACCTCAAATCCCATAAACCCCAATACCTAAACGCTCAACTTCAAATCCCCTAAACCCTGAACCCTCAACTTCAAATCCCCTAATCCCCAATACCTAAACCCTGAACTTCAAATCCCAAAACACAAAGCCCGGTAGCCCAGACCCCCGGGCGGATCTAGAAAGTAGAACCCCTAAGGTGGGACCCTCTACTACCAGAGGCTCTTTTTTGGAACCCCCCAATAAGGGATCTACTTTTTGGATCCTCCCGGGGGTCTGGGTGCGGGACTTGGAGGATCCTCAAAGATGCAATTTTTTTGGGGCCTTAAGAATTAGAATTGGCTTTAGAGTTTAGGGCTTAGGGGTTTAGAGTTTAGGGTTTAGGTTTTTGGGCTCCTTTATAATATAACTATGTAGATTATTCATCATAAGGAACCCTGAGGAATAGCATGGCAAAATTTTGCTAATTCATCACTTGGGCTCCTAGATTAATTCACTATTGGAACCAAGCAACCTAAAGCGCGTAAGGTCTGGAACCTCCAATTTCCATGCCCCCAGACCCCCTAAGCACGTTAGGGTTTAGGGTTTAGGGTTGAGTTTCAGGGTTTAAGGTTTAGGGTTTTGAGGCTAAAGCCGCTCCCTCAAACCTCAAACGACCCTGAAGCACCAAATGCACTGAAACTCTGCCGAGGAAACGTTGGCTGGCCGGGTGCGGCTTTGCCCTTTCCTGGTTTGGGATTCAGGGTTTAGGGTTTAGGGTTTAGGGTTTAGGGTTTAGGGTTTAGGGTTTAGGGTTCTTTACGGCCATCACTTAGAAGGAAAAGGAGAAACATAGGATTTGACAGCTCAGGTCAGGGCTTCAGGGTTAGGGTTTAGGGTTTAGGGTTTAGGGTTTAGGGTTTAGTTTAGGCTTTGCGGGCCCCTAAGCCCTAAACCCCCTAAACCCTAAACCCTTAAGGACATGTAAGTTTTTCGGATGCCTCCTGAGAAAATAACCCAGGGGATTGCAGAAGACTTCCCAGGTCTCTGCCGCATGCAAGGCCGGAGGAGTAAACCCTAAACCCTAAACACTAAACCCTTCAACCCTAAACTCCTAAACCCTAAACCCTAAATCCTAAAACCCTAAACCCTAAACCCCCAAACCCCCAAACCCCTAAACCCTAATTTGAAACTTGGGCTGTCATTACTTTTACAGCTTAGGGGCTTCACTTGTTTTTTTGTGCACAGGCTCTGAGTCTATGAACTCGACGGTTCCATGGAGGGTCCAAAACGTATGAAGGCGCCCAAATCGAGAGCCGGCACCTGAAACGCCAAACAACATCATCCAATATTCTTGTGTGTTCTTGTTGCCTTAGGAGCTGAGTACCCTAGCCCAAAAAAGGTGAACCTTTTGAATTAAAGTAGGATCATAAAATCACCAAGAGGTTAAAGGTTACCTACTCAGCCCCTGAGTTGCCATATCTTCAGTTTGGGTAGGGCTGGAACTGAGGGACAAACCCTAAACCCTCAGCCTCGAACCACGACATAACGTTCAGGGATGATCAGACTTGTTGCTTTTGACGATAGGGTTCCAGAAAGCCCCAAACCCCAACCCTCGAGAAATGTAGACCCCTGAATCCGAAACTGCGTTTGTTCAAGGGTCTTAGTCTTCGGCTCCCGAATAGAATGCTGCTTTCGATTCTGGGGGGGGGGGGGGGCTATTTATCAGGGCTCTAAGCTAGCTTTTTACTGGGTAGCATGCTAAACCCTAAACCCCAAACACCAAACCCCAAACCCTAAACCCTAAACCCTAAAGCCTAAACCCAAACCCCCTAAACCCTAAGCCCTAAACCCTAATCCACTGAAGCGCGCCTTTGCCCTTGCCGGTTTTGCCTGTGGTTGCTGGAGCTTGACAACTTCAGATTTGTAGCCCGGGGTCGAGGTTGAATTTCTGTTTAGGGCTTAGGGTTTAGGGTTTAGGGTTTAGGGTTTGGGGTTTAGGGTCTAGGGTTTAGGGAGTTGAACTTTAGTTTAGGGTTTAGGGTTGAGGGAGTTGAACTTCAGTTTAGGGTTCAGGGTGTAGGGTTTACCTAAACCCCCAAAAGCAGGTAAAACAATGGCCCAACACCTATAAAAGGCGATTATTCTACATACTGTTTCGGGTCCAGGTAGGGTTTAGGGGGTTGAATTTCAGATGCAGAGGGATCCCCGGATAAAAAGGTAGAGATGCCGATCCTTGGCTGCCTTCTTTCAAGTCTGGTAGCCTTTGGGGTTGATACGGCTGATGGACAAAATCCTGCATGACCTTATATACCTAAACTATCGGTTATGGTACTCTACTATATTTGGGTCACGCAGAAATATTGTCCACCAGCAGTAGTATACTCCACCGAATCCCCCAGCTGCTACAGTGCACTTTAGAAGCATGGGACATCTTAGGCTCATGCGTCATGCTGTCTTTGTCAGAAATGCTCGGGAGCAGAGTAAGGGAAATTTTGGTGTCGCTTGGTCTGGGAGCTTTACGTTCAGTACGGGCGGCGTGGGGAATTTTTCAGGCATTGGGTTTTGGGAGCGTAAGCATAAGCCGAAACCCTAGCAGTTACTGTGGTACTAGCGAGCTTGGGGCGCAGGGATACATTCGAGACAAGTTGAGTATAGTAGAATAGACCCCACAGCCTATTCTAATTACTAAGGCCCCTACATTAAGCGCTTATAGCAACCCTCATAGAACCCTCTAGCAGAACCCTTTCAGGGATGTCGGCTCGCTGCCAGAGCTGAAGCACAAGCTGGCAAAACGAGATTGCATCAAAGAATGCAGGGTTTAGGGTTTAGGGGCTCGGGTTCAGGGTTTAGGGTTTAGGGTTTAGGGGTTAGGGTTCCTAGAACCCGAGACCGGCGCCGGAGGGGTGCTTCACATGGTTACCCCAAAGATTGAACTTAACCCAGACCCCCGGGAGGATCCAGAAAGTAGAACCCCTAATTTGGGACCCTATACTACTGAGGGCTCTTTATAGGAACCCCCCATTAAGGGATCTACTTTTTGGATCCTCCCGGGGGTCTGGGAAGTCGCAGTCAGGGAAGAGCAATGAAGCCACCTGAGCCCAGCCTACACGGCCAATCATCCCCAAGCCCCCCAACTTTATGCAGTCTATGCCTTTGAACCTTACATAAAACTCAAATCCTACCCTTCCAACTCTCCAAAATGCACGAGAGACTCTTACTGCATTAACAGCGTTCTGTCTGAGGACTTTGTATGGTCTACTGGCAAAGTTTCTAAGGCAAGGCCGCAGGAACGTTGCTCTGCGTCTTCTACGAGGTTGGAGGGGACGATGAAGGAACCTTATGGAGGCTCCTTTGTTGAGACGCCATACTGCTGACTGTGGAGGACCCTAGATTAAGACAGAAAGTCTTTGAGTTCATGCCGCACAAAAGCCCTCAACAGTGTTGAGGGCTGTGTTACACAGCACTAAACCCTAAACCCCTAAACACGTAAACCCCAAAATGCTAAATCCTACACCCCAGAACCCTAAACCCTGAACAGGGGGCCTGCTCCCTTTGCTTCTTTTCCTTTGCCCTTGCCCTTGCCGTCCTTTCCCTTTCCTCGGTCGACCGTAAGGGTTCAGCAGGATTGTAAGCATTGAAAGTCAAAACCCTAAACCGCAACCCACCCGCTCAAAAAAAAAAAAAACGCCAAAAATCGCTAGAATTACACCCTAAACCCTGAACTTCATTGGCGACTGGAGCTGAATTTGACAGCGCTTCATAGCTTTCGGGCTTGGGGTTTGGGGGCCTTGCAGGGTTTTTGGCTTGGCTTCTGTGGTTTTAGGGTCTAGGGTTTTAGGGTTTTTGGGGTTTGGTGTTTAGGGTTTTAGGGTTTAGGGCGTTAGGGTTTTAGGGTTGAGGGTTTAGGGTTTGTAGGGTTTAGGATTTTAGGGTTTAGGGTTTTAGGGTTTAGGGTTTGTAGAGCTTAGGGCTTTTAGGGTTTATAGGGCTTCAGGGCTTTAGGGTGAAGGTTGAAATGCTACGTAAGGTGATGGCTCGCAGCATCGTTCTCTCAGCCAAGTGGCCTTCCATCATCTGGCGATCTGCAAACGATACCTGACCATGCAGGGGCGTACTGGTTCATTGTACTATATGATAGAGTCTGCTATATGACTTGATATGATATGACAGAAAACAGGATGATGTGATGCGATGTGTTGTGATATGAAGTGACATGATATGATATTGAAGCATATGCTGTGAGATGGCATGGTATGACGCGACCTGAGGTGGCACAAGATGCCACATGTCACGGTTCTATATTATATGATGTGATAAGAAATTATGTGATATGGCATGACAGGATAAGGCATGGCAGTACAGCGTAGTAAAGTTTAGTTTGGTGCCGTATAAGATAGCATCGTAGGCTTCACGCCTCTTTCCTGCGACGATGCCCAACCCCCGCTCCCCAGTGTCCCCGACATCTGTCCATCAATACATCAGCGCATATGCATACAGAAACTGTCTGTGTGTATATATACATATATTATATAGACATATATTCACTACATGGGCCCGAAACCTTAAGCCCAAAGCCTTGTAAGCTTCGGGCACCGGGGCCAAGAGCCGCAAGAAGAGCAAGTCGCTAGATCGGAGCCAAACAGAAGTGCTCTATACATATATACAGAATATATGTTTATTTTTTACTTATTTATATGCATGCATACATACATACATACATACATACATACATACATACATACATACATTACATTACATACATACATACATACATACATACATACATACATACATACATACATACATACACATAAGCCCCAAAGAGTTTCCGATTAGCGTCCTTCGGCAGTACGTGCCGCGGCAA